TAGGTGAAAAAGAAAAAAAACACTGCTAAAAAAAACAAACAGGAAAGTATATTTAGGTACACCTCAACTGGGAAAAAATGGGATCAAATAAAAGGAAAACATCACAGGAAAAATGGCCACTTCCTGGATGGCAGCTGCAATTATGGCCTAAACTAACAATAAACCATAACAGAACAGTTCCCAGAGGGATCTCTCAGACTTCGGAAAAAAGCCTAGATAGACCAAGTCTGGAACATAAAAGGAGATCTGATGACCAGGTAACTGCAACCTTTAGCACAAGAGCCAGGAGAAATGCCCTAAACTGGCTTTGCCCCTGAAGTGTCTCATATTCACAGCAGTGCTGATATTCACCAGCAGCCACAGGAGCACTCCGAGGAAGGGACCCCACTGGAGTGGTTTGTGTGTCAGAGAGACCCCACTGGAGTGGTTTGTGTGTCAGAGAGACCCCACTGGAGTGGTTTGTGTGTCAGAGCTGCCACTTCAGCCTTGCTTCCAGCATGGGAGGCAGCAGACAGAAACTGGAACCACTAATTTACCAGTCCCAGTCTCATAGAGGGTTTCTCCACACAGGCAACACTTTCAGGTGGAAGATACATTTAAGGACTAAAGCCAAACAAACAGCGTTCTCTATTCTGAGAGCATGGGGGTGAGCATAAAATAGTGTCTGTATTGCCAGATGACTTCAAATACCAGTAAGTGGGAATTCTATCCCCTTTCCCTTCCCTAGTCAAAATGTGCTATCCCTAGGATTGGCATACAGATGATGGGGTGTCCTTCTCAGACTACAAAGAGTCAGATTTCAAAAGGAACCCATAGGAAACAGAGAATACTTCTTTGTTTAAGCATGCATTTCAGGGAAAAAAACCTAATCCCTAAAAAGTCAGTAACAATGAAATCAGCTGTCCTGACACAAGAGAGAAATGTTGCTAATGCCCTTGGAATTTAGCCATGCACCCACTTCCTTTCATTTCCTTATTACTGTTTTAAGCACAAGTCGCCCTCCTCCCCTCCACTGACAAGCCTTGAATTCTGGGTCTCTGAAGACTTGGAGGATTAATATACTGCAAAAGGTCTTTTTAACTGCGGACAACAGGCACCAAAGCCCAGTACAGGTTGAAAGAACAGTATTTATTTTAAGCCTCTCTTACCTAAAAACATGTACACAAAAGTCCCTACATTTCCATTCTAGTCTTTTTCAGCAAATTTAGGAGGCTTTAAATAAAATGCCCATGGTCCCTAAATCTTAGTCATCTTCTAGTTTATTTTTTTTACTACTATACTTAGAGCTTACCTAAATAGCAGTCTGCTTTCTAAGCACTAATCCACAGGGTCTTTTTCAGGCAGGCATGATGCCAACCTCCAAGAAACTGGGCAAGTCCTCCAAAATGCATGCTGAATCCTAGCCAAGACAACAGCTGGGAACTGGCTTTGGGCAGCTAAGGCAGGGGCACAGTTAAATTGCCTCTGCTTATTCATTAACCCAACGGTTCTTGTCACGATACCAACTGGGTCAGTATTTGCATTCCCATAGAAAAACAAACAAAAGAGTCAGTATTTGGAGACTAGAAATATTTCTCATTGATTCGTTCAGTGGCTAAGTAGTAAAATCCATAGAGAATTTAGCCACTAAATGTGAAAAAAAATAAAGATATTTAAGTGAAAAAGTTTGTTCTGATACACACCAACCTCACATAAATCCATGACCACTACTACCCCTGTTCCTTCATTATTTACTTGAGTTTTCTCACTGCTTCTACAGCTGTACAGAGCAATGACCTAAAGGAACACTGAGGAGTCTTGTTGCATGTAATTAATATTTTTGCACCAAGTGCAGGTGTTTTAGCACTTGTCAAAGCAACTACTGTCACCCCACTGTCCTATGAATTGCATAGTGAAGTCTCTGATTTTGTTGTTTTGGTTATTTGGGGGTTTGTTGTTTTTTCAATGTAGTTTTAGTTGGTTTGGATTTTGTTGTTTTTTAGCTATGTATCCTTTAGCTATGTATCCAGTATACAATTGGACTCAAATCAATGGTCCTGTTGCATTACAGTGCAACTAAAAAGCAGTTTAAGATGTATTACTGAATCAGAGAGTACTAACATTAGCTGTTTTGAAGATTACAGTACACTACAATTATATACAGAAAGGTAATGGGGAAAATTACCATCTCCAAGATTTACTACTAAAATTTTTCACAAGTTTTTTGATTGTTTAATCCAAGTTACAATAAACAGAAGGAATTTTCAACAATAAAAACAAGAAAGCAGAACCATGAGAACAAATCAAGCTGCTGAAACACTAAGCAAGAGGCTAATGTTGATAAAATTAAACTAAAATTAAAATGCTGATCTGCAGACTTTTACATTATTTGTTATTAGAAGCATGTACTGATGTTGAGACCAGCTTGTTGAAGCCCACGATAAGCAAAGTCTATCTCTGAAGAGGCAGGTCTGGTATGAAAGGTGCTTTCACTTAAGTAGCAACATGTGCACACATGCAATATATAGAGCCCATGAAGACTGAAGGAAAAAACCAGAAGAGAATAAAGCAAGAACTAAAACTGAAACCCTGTTCCTTTCAGAAAAGGACATAAAAAGACAAAAATCACCCTTCAGTCTCAGCATCTCCGATCTGATTCCCAGAGCACCAACACTGAAGCCCATTGAACACCAACATCAATTAGCTCTACATAGATTAAAACCACACCAAACCACTGATGATTATTAGGGGCTCACTTTATGAACAAGCAGAAGAATGATGTAATAAATCCTTGGGCAGCAGCAGAAAATGAAAAAATAATGTGAGGAAAGGGGAGGAAAAAAAGAAAAAAAAAAAGATTAGTTATTGCTCCAGAGATATAATTTTGTCCCATTACAGTAAGTCACCACCTCTTTTTCCCCTAAAGGAATCAGAGAGTATAAAACCAGCATTACCACACACAGGGTTCCAAGAACAATTCAAAAGAATTCCTTGGCTTCTTTTAAGATTTTGAACCCGATCTCATTTGGACAACATCTTCTAGAGAATCTGGAGAGGTGACCAATTTAATAACAGTAACTGATGATGACAGGAGGTTGCAGCAGCAGAACATAGTTTTCACCTTGTGGCAAAATTTCTATTCATCTAATCCTTTAACTATGCAATACAAACACCATGAACTGCTCTCCAAATGCAGAAAGAAGGAAAAGGGCAAACAGCACCAGACACAAAGTCCAGATTCACTAAAGTAAAGATTTAGTGGGAAATAAAACTACTAAAGATGGTCACTGACCTGTTCCATGCACAGACGGGTTCAGGCCACATTTTTCAAAGGTGCACTTGCTTACTTCTAGCTGAATTTCAGTTTCGAAAATAGGCTTCCCCACTTAAGGTTATAATACATCTACCATCTACCCACCAAAAACCCCAGTCAGCTGAAAAAAACTGCAAGGCAAAATATCAGTGCCTAAACAGCAAGATGAATTATTATTACTGTTTGTGTGGAAATCATGAAAGCCACAAATAATTGAATTTGGTTTGACCTCTTTTCTGTTGAAGAAAAAGCCCTTAAACCACAACAAATTTAGTTTCTTTTTAATCTTTGTCAAAATTTATCACACTTCTTATGTGCTAATCTTCAAATTTTTCCACTGAGAAACTGAGTATGTAAAACTGTTTTAAACAAATGTAACATTTGAAAAAGACACAATAGGTAGAGCACTGCATCTTCCAAGTACTGAAAACTTGGAACATACACATTTAAGCATCTGTTCTCAGTGTACATTCACTTACACAGCAGATAGTTGGCTCTACAAATTAAAGCTCATTGTTCTTTAAGAATCTTAAGGTAAAAAAAGAAATAAAAAAAGAAAACATACCATGCCTGAGTGTTTCATATTAACTGCTGCTACGCCTGAAAAAGAATCCACCTGCATCCTACGCTTTAGCACTATCACTGTTATCCACCTTACAGAATGCTGAAGGAAAAACATGCAAAACCTTTGCACACAAATCACTGGCAGTGGTTTGAGACCCACCAAGAGGATTTTATGTCAGGGCTTCTGACTAGTACCCAGAAGGGCAGAGCTGGCAGTTGTGTAAGTGCCGTTATTATCCACAGAAGTTAAATATGGACTGGAATATACCATAGTCAATTATCTTTCTTCTTAATAAACTTGCGATGACAAAACATGATTATAGATACAATATCCTCTGAGACAAAGGGCAGAAGACATGAAAGGACCCATTCCATCAATTCAAATAAGTGCTACTGGAAAAAATGTTTGTACTTGGTGCTTCTTTTTTTAATTTATCAAGAAGACAAGTTTCTATACGTTTGCTCACTGAGAGCAGTCAATCAATACATACTGACTGAAATTATCTATAGCATGTAGAATATTTGCTATCAGGACAAACAGTTTGGAGAATACAGTTTTCCTTTTGTTTGCAATGTAATGCAATTTTAATGGAAAATATTCCTGCCTGTGACCAAAATAGTCAGTACTTGAAAGAGTGTCTGACAGAGGCATCTGTCTTTCTCTTGCAAGCAAGTCACCACAGCCAGCTCAGAGCCCTCTGTACCAGAAATTTGCTCTCAGCAGACTTTAACACTTAAGTCTTGAAGGACAAACACTGGGCCTACCTAAGGCTCCTACCAAAAAGTGGTCAGGACTGAAAGCTTTTGGCAGCTCCCCTTCCTCTGGCAGCTCCCCCTCCTCTGGCAGCTCCCCTTCCTCTGGCAGCTCCCCTTCCAGCCCCACTCACAACGGGGCTCTGCACTTTCTTGCTCTTCAAACTCAAACCCTAAACCTAGACACTAAATCACTGCTTTCTAATTAGGATATGTTTATTATATAAGAAATAAGGCAAACTGTGTGCTACACTTTGGTCTGGCAGTTAAATATGGAGCCTGCACACTCGTTTGGCAGATTCCAAAAGCACTCACTTGGCTCCATCTGATCTCCACCCATCAAGACTCGAAGGTCTAAATACAATGGCAAGCACAGGAACTGCAAACTAACCTGGTAGCCCTGGAAGAAGCTGAGTATCTCCTTCATTCCTGTGTTGTATGGCAAGCCCTGCATCCGGACCAGCGCTCCAGGCTGGGGCAGGATGGGAGTGTGGGTGGCAGTGGCAGCAGCAGCTACAGCTCCTGGAGGAGCTGCAATGTACCCCACTGTGGTAGGAGACACTGGAGGACTGAAAGAGAAAGAGGGAGCAAAATTAGTATGAAAACCAGTAGCCAGTTCTAGTTCTTGGAATAGGCAAAGATGAATCGGAAAATATAAGTCTGAAAGTAAACCCCAATACCACAGAAAATCAAACAACCCTGATGTGGATTGCTCTGTGGACTTTCTTAATTTCTCTTCAGCATCTGATAATGTATTTTTAGAGAAAGGAGGGAAAGGAAAATAGCTAACATTTGTAGTTAAAGATATAAGGAGTGGCACTTGTTATTTCACAGGGGAGAACAAAAAATAGCTGCAGAAGACTTAAAATAGTTAATAATTTCCTAAAGAAAAAAGGAGAGGGGTGTGTCATAATATGAAAAGCAGGCAAATGCCCAAATCTGGCATTTCTGAGCCACAAAATAGCCATGAGTTAGCATCTCCAGCTCTGGGCAGGACCCATCCAGCAAGTTACCACATACTCAAGCTAACAAGTGTCACAAGCCTAGGAACTACCAATGAACAAGCTATTTCCCCATGGACCCAAGCTCCAGACTGTAGTGACTCATGCTGATATCATCTCTGGGAAGGGAAAAGGTGGATATCTGCTTTGCTTTCACATGTAAAAGTGTTCTTTGGTCTCAGTGATACACAAAATCAAAACTAGTACACACCTACAATGAGCCTTTCAGTATGGAAACAGCGTTGTAAGTAAAAGAACAAACTAAGAGATGAGTGTGTAGAGGCATTTATTGACACAGCTTCTCTCCTGGTCAAGAAATAGAACTGCCTTGCTGACATTGCCCCAGTGCCAAAAAAACTCTGTTAAATATTAGACCAACATTATCATGAGATTCCAACAGAACCTACAGAAGAGACGAACTTCACTGCGAGGCCACAGAGAATCAGTTAAAATGGTTACTGCCTCTGCTACCAAACATCGAGTTCCCAGGACCACCTACCCCAGAAGTACAAATTTAAGGGCTGTTCACAAGTGACCACCCAGTTGCCTGCTGCACTGAGATGAAAGGTCAAGAGAAGCAGTTAAATCTTGGGGTTACCTGGGATAGTAAGCTGTGTAATTCATATAAAGCTGAGCAGCCTGAGCTGGGTAGTAGGTAACAGCTGGAGGAGCAGCTGCAGAGGCCTGGGGAGTCCTGGTGGTTGGCAAGAGGGCTTGTGGTTGGTACAGTGCTGCCTCTGCTGGAATCACAGCTGCTGTCTGGAAAGCAGCATAAGCTGGTGGAGAGAGACCTAAAACCAAACCAGGACACAGCAGCAAAAAGCAATCAGAATGGAGGTCTCTAGGATGTGTAATTCCTTTCCTACAGCAGTGTGATTAAAATTGATTGAAACCATCTGGGCACGATAGATAAACACCTGAGCAAAGACTTATCTCTAACCTCTCCCCTGGAGACCCCTGCTGTGTCACCATGAATGACAACTGGAACATTTGGAATGAGTAATTCCTGAAAGTTCACAACTGCTAGAGCTGAGAGGCCTTGTCCACATGTAAATGGAAAGTAGGGAACTTGAGAGTTATTCAAAGAAAGCATAAAGCCATGTGCATAGAGAAAGCAGGCGTGCACACCAACACACCCTCATTTTTTCTAACAGAAGTTGTACTCTGTGGGACAAAAGTATCAAAATAGGAGCTACACATGGGCATCCATAACTGCTGACCATGAGTCTTCTTCATGTATAAGCTTCCTGTGGCTTCAAAAAGTATTTTGGGATATATCAAATGGAAAAGAGAATAACCCACTAGATCACTAGTCTGATGCATTTTGATGAACAATTACCTAATTTGTATAGGAATATTAAGCTTAGCTTGGTGTGCAGTCAGATTGTTTTTATATACTATATTTGGCAGCTTTTTACTCTTTTGCAAATACACGTCAGTATCTGCTTTGTGATTTGGTAGTGACACTAATTAGAACAGTACAGTAAAGATCCATTTTAGTTCCTCAATAATGTTCACTGTAATTTTAAAATAAAAGAATTAAAATCCGTCTAACTTCACCACTCTGTAGTCTGTTAGTATATCAACCCAATGGGTGTTTTCCTTCAAAAATAAGCCCAAAGAGTACCTTCTCAATGCTCTAAGGCAAGATAGCAAGAGCACTCATCGGCAGCTAGAATATAGAACTTTTCCCTATTTTAAAAATCCCCTAATTGCAAGTAGGTTTCACTACAGGCAAGTCTACTGCAGAGCTCAGAAGAACAGTACACCCATCAAAAGCAAAGTGTGCAACAATTTCACTGGCAAGGCCTTGCTGCCCTCTACTCATCACCGAAAATACAATAAAAATGCCTCTGATCAGTCCCATTATTGCCCAAAGGGAACAATTCCAATCTCAGCATGTATATTGATCATGGCAAAACCCGAGTCAAAAGGTGAAAGGCCACAAGCTTCAGCACCTACCACATGTCAGCCTTTAGCAGCAGAGAGCAGAAGAATTGGAGACTTACATGGTAACTTACATGGCGGTGGGGATAAGCCACTACGATTTAAAGTGCCACCCATTAAAACAAAGTTCATCTCCTCTCCTGAACACTGGAATACTTCCACATAACGGTCCTTCATCATTTTTTTGTGACATTTTTGAGCCACCATAAAGGCTTTGTCAGCAGATTTCATTTGGATAAAAGCATCACCTGATGGTCGTCCCTAGGGGGAGGCGGGGAAATAATTGTAAGTCAGTCTGTTGTTAAACCACCCAGATCACAAGAAATGCAAGATCAAACATCTACTGAAAGTCTGTATTGCTCTTCCTCCTCTGGCACTAATGACTATTGACCCAACAATTATTTATGGGAGCAGAAAAATCAAGACACATGCAAGCAGTTCCCAGTTAACACAATGCTTCACTCCTCTGCAAAAAAAAAACAGAATCATGAAGCATGGAAAAAAAAGTTTGGAGGTCTCTAATCCAAAGGCTGCTCAAAGCATGACAAACCTTCAAGTTATATCAGGCCACTCATTGCCTTCTCCACTTGATATCTGAGGATCTCCAAGGGTGGAGATTCCACACCATCTCTGGGAACTTGTTTGGGTGCTTAGCTAATTTCTCATTGTGATTTTGTTTTTTCTTTTTCACCTAAATGGGATTTTTCTTGATGCGATTTATAAACACTTATCCCTTATTCTTTTGCTGTGAAGCTCTAGGAAGAGTCTGGCTTTGCCTTCCCTGCAACTACTTTTTAGGAACAACAGCTCCAGATCCTTCAGTAAAGTCCATAGCTACATCAGAAATTGATTTCCAGGTCTGATTTTCTGCAATCTGACAGACATAGTTGTATACATAAAATACTAAAAATTTCCCTAATAAAAAAAAAAAATCAAAACAAGTATAGTCAACCTGTTTCATTTGTTTTCTTTAATACCTCAGTTTTTCTGTGGCTGAGAGTTTATTTTTAACACAAGGCAACAGGGAAAATATATCCCTATGATCATGTCATTAAAATATACTCAAAACACAATTTTTAATTAGCAACTTACTTTAAAGCCTGAGAAATCTCTAGTCAAATTATAAGTTAGGAAAACCTAATTTTGACACAAATACCACTCAAACAACACAGCAGGAACCCCAAGGCTGACAGAGCAGCTATGCCATCTAATAAGAGACATTTCTCTCTTGTATATCTCCAGCACCTCACTGAAACATAAGAACCATTTCAACAGGGTTGAAGAACATTATCATTATAAGAACAGGCTTCATCCTCCCCAGACTGATGCATACACACATACAGAGAAAGAAAAGCAAGTCTGTATGTAAAAGGGGAAGGGAAATGAGGAAAAGAGACAAAGAGAACACTGTATTTTCCCAAAGTTAAAGACTGAAGCACAGCCAGGATCAGCTAAGCTGCCCTGACTTCCAGTTCCGTTCAGACACTGGCAAGTCAATCCTCCCAGGCAAAGGGCTGTTACCTGTTGGTTAAGGACCATGTGCACTCCATGGGGCTTGATGTCCCCGGTGGCGTCTCCCATGAATTCCAGGATGTCATCGATGCCCGCAGTGTAAGGGAGCCCCCGGAGCCGGACACAGTCCCGGACACTGCCCGTGGCAATGGTGTAGGGGGGGGGGATGACTGGGATGATGGGAGTTGGCAGAGTTGGGATGAGAGGTGTTGACATATATCGATTAAGTACCTGTTGGGGAAAAAGCACAGCGACAGATTTACACATCATCTGCCTGAGCACAGACCAATTCTCACAGTACTTTTTCCAACAGCATGGAAAAAACCCTTCTTAAACCAAATTACTGCTGTTACTTTCCTGTTGGGCATTTGAAAGCTTCAAACTCAGAAAGGGAGAGGGAAAGGCTAACAAATTCAATTTGCTAGACTCTAATAACAGACTTTTCTAATCTCAATATAAAAAAGGTTAAAAGCCAATTACAGTTGATTTTATAATATCTGAAACCACATTTGTGCTAATAAATAAGTATTGTCACATACAGTTCTTAGTTAAGTTAGGGTTAATTAAAACAAGTCATTTTAAAAGAACTGAGACCTGAAATAACCAATAAGTAAAAATACGAGCTCTAATTTATTCATAAAACCTGACTGGTTAAGTGAGAGTGCTTGCTTTTTTAACCTGAGTGCTCATCTCCAAGTACAGAGCTTCTGAAGAAAACAAACAAATAAATAAGAACTGTAAGAGACTTCGATCTCAGCATGTCCTGTTGACTCGTTCCCAAATGACAAAGTGAAAATATGATGTGTTCGGGCTTACTGCTGAAAAACATTTTCAGTGATGATTATCACAAATAAACACACTCTACTGAAAGAGGTACCAAAAAAGAGGCTACAGCTTTAGTTTTGTCAAAAGGGATTCTTCTTAGTTTTGAGTCTCACAGCCAATAGTTACAACCTGTTGGACTTCTGCTGCTGTGCTCCTGAAGAGTTCTATGTAACGTTTTCCAAGTATTTCTTTGTGCTTTTTAAGTGCACTTTGTGCATATTCTTCGCAGGAAAATAACACAAATGCATCTCCTGTGGGCCTGCCATCTGGGTACTTGACAAAGAGAAGTCCCTCTTTCCCTCCTGTGACTGGGCACTCGGGCCCCAGGAAGCCCAGGACATCCTCCTGCGTCGCAGTGAATGGAAGGCCTCTCATCCGGATGATAACTTGGTTCTCCTTGGATAAGAACTGGGCCACTTCGTTGGAGGTGCCTGGTGGACAGACAACAGCGCATGGTCATGCTGGTCACTTCTGTAAGACAGAGCAGCGGCAAAGCAGGAAGGAAAAATACAGGAGGGGAGCAGAGAACAACAAACCCACAGAAGACCTGAGGCACTACTAACTCTCAGCAATCTATTCTGAAGTGAAAATCTCTGCCCCTGAAAGTGTTTTATGTTTTAATGAAATTGGAACAAAGATGAGATCAGTGTGAACTTATACAAATCCACACAGGTGCCTCCACTACAAGAGCTCATCTTCCTCCCAGACAGCAAGACCTGCCTGTGAACATCACAGCCCAAATGCTGACAGCTCACTTTCAACCACGTCAAAACAGAACTTGACAGGGTCAAGTATTCTTGTAAGGTAAACCAGGAAAAGCTACTTCATTATCCATTTGCATCCTCAGTCAAGAAAAAATATCAGAACTAGAACAACATTCCGATGGACTTAAGTAATGGCACTGAACTCCAGCATCACTTACCTCCTGCAATTTTTAAGAATTCCTCTCCAGTTGCTTTGTAAACCTTAAAGAGAAGAAGAAAGAACAAAAAAACCCTACATGAAAATCACAACATTCAACTCTAAACAACACACAAACTCTTTCACAAGTCAGAGAATGGTATTTTGGTACTTTGAGCAAAAGAGAAGGGCAGTTTGTTCTTATTTAAAACCATGGCCTAAAATATTCACGTTGCCCTCCAAAGATTTATTTCAAGTCACAACTTTTTACCTCAATGTATCTGCTGCCCATGTGATGCTTATGCCTTTCCAGTGCAAGGTCTCTCTGTTCAGAATTTACAAACCGAACTAAGGCCTCCCCATTTCTTCTTCCTTGGGAATTCAGACAAAGAGCCACACCACCTCTGGAAGGCAAAACCAACAAAAATAAACTTAGTTTGACTCTTTAATACAGATAATACACTAATACAAATAATTGTGTAAGAATAGTAAAGAAATCAGGCTTTAACGTGAAGGTTAGAGATTGAAAAAGAAATTGCTACTATCCACAACTTAATTTCATTTTTGATGTAACACGATTATACTTTAAAATCTACTCCACCGAGATCATGGATCTCAGGTTGCACCACTTTCTCAGCTTCCATGAAAATGTAAGTTTGCAAGCCCTTCCTATCACCTCAGAGATGCAGATTTTGATTTCCTCAGAACTCTAAATAAAGAACTGTATTTTCTCAGTGTTGAGAATCCAGAATACACAGTGACAGATATGCTAAACTAAACTTACTTTCTCTCTCTCTATATATATATGTATACAGACATACATCTATACAGAGGTGTACACACGAGTCATATGAAAACTTCTTCCAAACAGGGAGGTTTGTGAATCTGGCCTGTTTAGGAGGTATAGCAAAACACTGAAGAGCTGGCACAAAATTAAAGTTTCTGTTGTACCCTGGACTCTGCTTTGATAAATGCAATAGGAGTTTCTCCCTTTAGATCCCAGCAATAAATGAACGTATGTTGGTTTTCAATTGATAAGTCTCTCAAAACTCTTTCTCACACACTTAAGGCTGGTAAACCTGTTCATTTATCATGACCACAGGACAGGAAGGGGCCAAATGGGAAAGACAAGTGGAAGTGAGGACTCTAGTGGGAAGTGTGGGGGATGTGTCAAACAAATATTGAAGGAACTTGCTATTAAAGACAAAGAGACAAAGCAAGGCAAATTCTTATTATCTTACTTGGCAATATTGAGACCTTTGAAGAATCGAGCAATATCTTGGTCTGAAGACTGCCATGGCAAACCTCTGGCACGTATTACTGTCTCACTGTCCACAGTTTCAGATTTACTACTACACAAGAAAAAAAAAGAAGCCAAAGTAAGCTTGAATCTAGGTTTTCCATGATCTTACCAAATTTTGGATTGCAACAGATTTAACTGTAAATTGGGAGTATATTTCCTGTTGAGACTTTTCTATTTCTATTTTTCATTTCAACGAAGAAAGGAAAGATGGCTGGGATTATTCTTTTATATATACACAACACTGAAGAGATGCACTATCTTGTCACCACATTGCAGTTCCTTAAATGAAAAAAAGATAGGAAAACTGGCTTAAAGTAAAGTAATAAGGAACTGGATTAATTTTTTTTAAAAAATCTAACAATCAAAGATAGATGAATACAGGGCAGTCCTAAATATCAGCACAAGTTACTTATGCCTAAAATGCTTCATTCTCCAGTCACTGCAATATATTTGAAAATAAAGAACATCCTGTTTCTTCTCTCCCTAAACCCAGCACACAGCACAGCATATAAGACTCTTTCAGGAGCAGCACACAGCTCAGTCGCCTATAGGGTGCACTGGCCATTACCCTGTTGACTCAGGGAAAGTTCACAAATATTTCCTCACCACCGGGTAAGATAAGCCAGCCTCACTGCCATGCAAACCAGCAGCAAGAGAACAAAGAGCATTTAACTTGCAGTGACTTTAAAGAGGCTAAAGTACAGCATCCAACGTGCCAGCTCCAGTCTGTCCACACCAGACTGCTGAGTAACTTGTTACTGTTCTCAGGAGCCAATCTGCTTTCACAGAGGGAAATATTCACAAGCCTTCCTTACTACAGACAAGACCCATCTTTGCTTGTAAACAACTGTGACACTTACCAAGGGCCTGTTTCATACTTGTGTTTCACAGTTTCAGGCTCAGTAAATACGTGATCTGCAACAAAACAAAGTTTATATATAACCAGAGTCAGAGATTACTTAAGAATGACACTCCCAATTCTTTCAGAAAAGAAAGATTTCTTTCCTTATAAATAGTTTACTTACTACCACCTTCAGAGAGCATGCTGAAAATGATGGCCACCATGGTTTTCACTTGCCACACGCCAAAGTCCTCCTCTGCTTCATCTGTCCCTAAGCCTAGATCTAAACAGGTGATTATAGAAAATAACAGACTTGCACAACTGTTTGGAAACAAGTTATAAGGCTTTCCTGATATTAACACAGAACTGGTAATCAAATTTACTTGTCTTAGCAGGGACATGTGAACATTAGACATGTTACTCTGCTCATAAACTGGTTAATATTCACTTTAATGGTCAACAGTCTGAAAACTATTAAGAGCTTACATAATTTCAGTGTTTACAGTTTAAGAAAAAATAGCTGAATAAGTTCCCATCACTTAAAACATAATAACTTCAATCACATTCAGGTGGTCCACAGAAATGCTCCTAATTTGAATTTAGATGTAGAGTATTGTTTGGGTTTTGGTTTTGTTTTAAACTCAGTTCAGTCAAGATCATGCAAAAGAACTACTATTATACGCAAACGGTAGAAACTTGTAGGTCATCTGGTGCTGAAAAGGCCACTGACAGCTCAGCTTTTGCTTTAAGATCTAGTATCAATACAAGTTACTAAATATGGTTTAGAAATCAGTGTTAGACTCAAACTGGAGGAAAAAAATTACAAGCAGAGATCCCCCAACACATGCTGCTTTCACATTCCTTTCACTTTACCTGTGAGTTTTTAAACCTCATATCTTAGTTTAGAAGAATAAAACCTGTAATTATCACAGGCATAAAATTTGAGGAAGCATAATTGATTCTGAGCTAAAAGCTGCAGCAAAAGGATACATTCTGCCATGGTCTTGATGGTCTGATCTTTGCCGGCGGCTGAACTGGGGTAGCAAGAGCGGAATTCTTTGCGCAGGTCGTAGAAGGAATAGAAGCAGTCTGACAGCAGCAGGTTCTGCAAAGAAGGCAAAAGGGTTGTTTTGTACACACTTTTCCTTTACATTTCCATTAATATTTCCAGATTGAATGAGGCAGTCCCAAAAATCATATAGTTGCATGTCACCAGCTTGTCTGTGTTTGAGCAGTTTGGTTCCTTTGGAACACAGTTCAAAAACCACAGCTGTACAGAACTGGATCTCCAGATGAGCAAATCCAAATAGCTTCTGGGAGGCAGACCTGTGCAAAACAGCTGGAGAAGATGGCTGGAAAAAATATTTTAAAATATCTAGGTTTTGCTGTTTAATATTCCCATTTAGGACACTATTTTCTCTTTTGCAGCTACACTGAGAAGCAGAATTGTACCCAAACATGATGACAAAGTTAAAATAACTATTTTTACAGTACACAAAATATATTTCAGCAACTTCAAGTTATTTATTCATCACTGTTTTGTATTGGGTAAGAACTTTAATTATATAACACTATTAAACAAATGTTTAAGTAGCCTTTTACTCAGGCATTAGCTTATTTTCTCAAAGAATAAAAAAAATAACTTGGTCTAATTCTCCACTTTCTCCCTCACTCTCCAACTGCTTTACCAAATAAAGCAGTTGTAAATAATGAATTAAGAAAAGTCACAAGGTAATGCTTTTTAGAATAGTAGGAATAGCAAGAGCTAAGGTCTGAGGCTTACTAACAATGTGCAGAGAGAAAAACTTGCAAATGAAAAAGTACTGAAGGAGGAGAAAAAAAAAAGAACGAAGAGAAAGAAATGCAGTACTAAAAGACTCAACATTTGATACCAGATTGACATCATTTGTCCACACCAGATGCATTCCTTCATCTGGTGTGGAGAATTATTTCTTCCACAACATCACAGTTTGTTTTAGTCTAGTGCATTTGTTTCAAGAGGAAGTACAAAGAATTACCCCCACAAAAAAAATACCAGTGTGTTTGAATGACAAATATAATTCCTGTTTCGTTACTTATCTCATCCCTACAGAAACATGTGCTTTTCATAAAAAGTCAGTGTTAAGTTTTAATACAACACAAACACCAAACTAATACTTGTAGAAACTCGGCATGAGCCAATACTCTTACATAGAGAAGAAAACCCTACAACTGGTAAACTCCTTCCATGTCAGCAGCTCTCATCCCTGTGGGGTTCCTGTGGGGTTCCTGCAGGCTGGCAAGCAGGCAAACTCAAGACCCACCACCTTACACAAAGGCAAGAGCTGCAGCTCTGCCTCCTGCTGAATAAACGCTGCTGGAGAACCCCTGCCATTCTCCAGGGCAAGGACTGCCTGCATGCTGCCCCTGCACAGGGCACTGCCACAGGGCTCCCACTGATTTCAGAGCCTGGGAGAAAGCCATGGCCCTGCACACAATCTGGGCTTTACACAAGCCTAAGCAAAGCAATAATTCTCCATCACTTCTGCTGAGATCAGATCAGGACCTTTGTTTCCGCTCCTTGAGACACAGAATTTAAAGCACTTGTACTGTCATTGTCTCTATCCTGTCATTCCTAATTTTCCTCTTCATTATGCTCATCTGGGAGTCCAGGTACTGTAACTGACTTTCAAGAGCAAGTGCCAAGAATAACTACTTTGCTACTCCCTTGAGACTGGGAAGGAACCATCTCAGATAGTCTTAAAACACTGTAGTTCACAAGGTTGAATTGAGTGGCTCCCCTCAAACTCACACAAGCTATTTTCTTTGATGTCCTTAAAACACAGTGCTGCTTTTTTGCATCGGTTCTGATCTCATACCTTTTTGGATGTTTCTGGGTGGAGGACTTGTCGAATGAGTAACTGGCCATCACTGCAGAGTGTGTAAGAGCTCCTTCCAAGTACTTTCAAATCACTGGATACCAGCTGACTAAACTGAAAAACAAAATGATAAATTTCATTGTATTGACTGAGAGACATAATTTCATGAAACAAGCACTTACCATTATTCCAGCACCTTTACTTTTTTTTTAGGATAAAGTAATTCAGCACTTTGCAGAAGTTTTTAAAAAAGACATGATGGAGAACAGACATGGGCTCCTGATAAAAGTAAGCAATAAATGGTATGCTTTTGTGCAATAGAAAATAAGAACACCCAGAGTATAGTAAAAAGACCAAACAGGAAGATAAGGTCATGGTATTATATTGGTAACATACAAAGCCTAAACTATAATAGAAGTTATTAAATATTTGAAAGAATTTTCAAGATTAATCCCAATACTGATTTTGCAATACCTTTTCTTCAGTTTTGGCACCTTTGACTTTGGTTATTGCCTTAATAATTTATTTTTTCAACTTCAAAAAGAAAAAAGCTACCCATCAGGATTTACTAATGTTTCAAAAGTAATATGCTAGGAATAGCCAACAGATCATGGTCTAATACCTTCAAAAGTGAAATTATAATGAAGTCAGATCCAAGCCAGTTAAAGTTCTTGGTATATATATATGGAGATACAGAGCTATGAACACTAGATAAAACAAAATTATTCCCTACCTGTAGGATGGATAATCCCCAGCAGGTTACTTCTCAAGAGGAATGATCTTGTTCAATGTTAGTTTCCATCCTTACACAAGTTTCCAAACTTTTTTTACTCCATACCACTGTTAAAATTCCTTGCTCATAACAGCCAACTACCATATTATAGTACCTACATCATATCAGTAAACAGTAGCTTGTTAACTAACTTTCAAGGGGACAAATATAATTATTTTAAGCTTCCCTCTTGATGCTACTCCCTCCGAGGAAAGCACCACCTCACAAACAAAGCAATAATTATCATCATGATGCAGCAGCCACCCAGTGCTTTCAGCAACAGCTTACAACTCCAAAACAACCAAAAGCAAATTACAAGTTGACTTGCAACTCAGACAATATCTTTGTGTTGTCCTTTAACCTGTGTATGGGGAGAAAAGAGAGTAGTATTGTTTTATCATCAACACATGTGATGCTTTCCATCATTCCAGTCTCTGCTCAGAAAGCCCATGTCCTAATGATCCCACAGCTCCACAATCCCGTGGGAACAAACACAAACGATCCCAATGATCCCACAGCTCCACAATCCAGAGGGAACAAACACAAACGATCCCAATGATCCCACAGCTCCACAATCCAGAGGGAACAAACACAAACGATCCCAATGATCCCACAGCTCCACAATCCAGAGGGAACAAACACAAACGATCCCAATGATCCCACAGCTCCACAATCCAGAGGGAACAAACACAAACGATCCCAATGATCCCACAGCTCCACAATCCAGAGGGAACAAACGATCCCAATGATCCCAGCTCCACAATCCAGAGGGAACAAACACAAACGATGCAGCCCAGAGGGAACAAACACAAACGATCCCAATGATCCCACAGCTCCACAATCCAGCCAGGGACAGAGTGTGTCTTCAACGTGATTTAGAAGGAGCAGAGATATGATTACCCAGGCTTTATTTCCAAATAACTGCTCCAATGCAATCCAGGCCATTTTCCAGGCTGGGGCATCTCACCGCGTTCCACTACCATTCTGAGCTCAGAAATCCTGTAGAAGTGGGTATTACACATCAAAACAGAAAACCGAGGGCAGAGCTGGGTAAGGAGAGGCACATAAAATGAAGTTATTTAATAGCAGAGAACATATCTGAAACTATAAGAAGAGAGAAATATCTCCCCCCTAAAAAAACCCTTTACAGTGCAATTCTTTGCACACTACCAAAACACACGGAAAGAACAAACACATCATACACACATTCAAAAAAAAAAAAAAAAATCAACAAACCCAAGCCCTTGCAGATTCAGAAAGCCAGTTTCCTCTTAATTGCTAGTACAGGTTTGCATTCCTACCACACGCTGAAGTCTTGAAGAACCTGAGGCTATAAAGCAAGTCATTGTTCAAGGATGATTTAAAGTCAGAAAACTGAGATCTGAGAGTGCTCAAAATACCTCAGCTGATGTGTAAACACCAGAAAAAGAAGAAAATTCCAGTGGACTCAAAAGGAACCACTTCAGAAATGCAGTTCTCTGTACTGCCACAGTCACAGACCAACAACAAATATTCTCTCCACAATAACATGCATGAGGAGATTTGCCTTCTCACTAAATGCAGCAACTTATCACTTTCTGTTTTAACTTCTGGGCACAGTAAAGAGCAAATATTTGTAAAAAGGGATTGGAAATGGTGATAGGAATCAGCTTTCAGAAGGCATACATGGATTCTCCCCAAAAGGAAACAGAATCTTCCTGATGAAACATAATAAAACACTCCCCAAATCTTCAACTTCATACCCTGTACTTCTGAAGATGCTCAAGAGACAATAACAAAAGTGCAGTTAGAGAGCTATTTTGGTCAGATACAAGAAGAAATCCAACCCACACAATTTGAAGGAAGCAATAATTGTGTGCAGCCTCCTGCTGTACAAACAAAACATAAGAACTGTAGTTCAAAAAAACTTTATCAAGTTAGAAAACAATAAGAGAAAAATGCTTGGACAAGGGCGGAAATGCTCAGGTCAAATGGTGTAAGTCAAGTTCGTATAAATCGGGACTGCTCACTGAAATATTTCTTTTTTTTTCCCATGTGGTGTTTCCCACACAACCTACAGCTGAAAAGACAGATACACAACACAGCTACTTTCAGAAGCCCAGAGTGAGAAGACACCAAAGTAGTAAAATATTGCATAAGGACACCAGTATTCGAAGCATACTCAGGTTTAAAGAACTCCCAAGAGGCAGCATTAATTTTTATTTTTTTACTTAGCCCTAATATTTGCACTGTATATTTATTAAGCTTCAGGGACAATATTTGACACTGCAAACTCCTTTCCAATGAGACAACCAACATGTCAAAACAATTTTCTACTGTTCTTACTAGATGCCAGCAGCTTAAAGTGCTTTTGATAAACCTCCACAAGGTTGGCAGGCCTTGCTGAGAGCTTATTTAGAAACTTGTATTTCAAAACCAGCCATTTTCAAACTTTGGGGTGTGCTGCTGCAGAAGAGGGCAAAAAGAGTGCAGGAAGAATAGTCAGGAGACATAAACAGTCCTTCCCATCCAAAACAGCTTAACTATGGCAGGGGTTAACTGAGGAGAGAATGAGGGAACAGTGCAAACAGGTAGATTCACCCAGGAGGAGAACATGGGGCAAAACAGGAAGCACAGCACTGCCCCAGAGGAATGACAGATATTTGAGACCAGCCTGAAGCAGCTCCTTCATCTATGTGAGATGTCACCAAATTCTGCAAAGGTTGAGTACAAAAAGCATAGCAGTGGACTAGCTCGGGTTGTTCCAGATTAGGCTGGACCTTCAAGTCTTTTAGGCAATAGATACACCCACCATATCACATGTGTGGAAGGTGTTAAAGCAATCAGGGCAGGGGTGTTTATTAAGCCACATTGTTAAGCACAACAGAAGCCACAGCAGTTAAGCAATTCAGCGTTCCTGACGAAAAGCCATTTTCAGCCTCCTTTCTTGCACCACAACTTTCAGGCAGCATTTCAAAAACCAGCCATGACCGGGCATACACCCAAATGTAGCAAGCTGAGGACAAGTTGAGACCAGTGCCAGATTTACATTACGTTTTCCTGTCTCACATGTTGAACGACCTGTCCACAACTCTGTCATTTGGTAAATTCCATCCACATCTCCTTCACTCTCCTTATAAAAACCATCTCAGCTATTTACCTCCTGTCATTCACCTTCATCCTGCCCTCCACAGCACTCCCCCACTTTAGCATGAAAAGCTGCCCCACCTTAAGGCTTCCTCCAAGCTTCCACACCCTGTCTGCCCTGTTAATCTCCTCATAGCAGAGTTATACAGTGTTAATTACCACTGCCTGCATCTTGCAACTAGCCCTCATTTCAACTGCAAGAACCAGTCTATTGGCATCACCCTCCACCTCTAGTGCTTATTCCACCAGATCAGTCTGTCCTGTAGAAAGCTCTGATGAGTCATTCCATATTTAAAGGAATATGTTCCATAATTCCATACCAAGATTAAAAACTGAACAGAGAGAAGAGGAAGAACCAAACAACCAAACATTTGCCTCCATGAAACCAAAAACAGTTCTAAGAGAAAAGGTGATGAGAGGGAAGGACAGACTTTGAGCACCCGTTTGAAAAACTGGCTAAACGTGATTTTGGTTGTGCAGCTGAGAGTACAAAGAGAGTGAAGAGACATGTTCTGCCAGCAGCAAAGCTGGATGAAAGCCAGCACAAGCTGCTGTGTTTTTTACAAATGAACCCCAAGGGACTGAAATGACAGCCCCCTTCGTGTTGCCTTAACTATACAAACAAAGCTATGGATCTTAGACAAATAAGAAGATTCTTCATTAAGCTCTTTCTATAGTTATGATGCACAAAACACTAAAATAAACCTCTGGATATTTGGATATTCCCATTTCCTTAACCAAAAATAGCTCTCATCCTTGAGAAAGGCCACTGCATCTGTGCCTGGCAGGGTAATGAAATACTGAGATAATTCAGACACAGAATGCATCCATGCTGTCAATGGCACCATTTCTAAAACACCAAGGTACTCTAGGGGATTCTCTCTTTAAATCACTCCTGAGAAATAACAAAATTTGACCGCTTCTTACTCATCAGACCTCCAGCAACTCCTAGTCAGTCTTCAAAATGTGATCCTTTCCTCTGTTCCTCTGTTTTGCTTCTTTTGGCCCTACTGACCCATCACAGCTAACAGCACCAGGCAAGACACAGAATTATTCTCAGAGCTTCAGAATTAAAAGCATTTGCAATTAAACTAGGTCTGGAATGCCATGCTAAAGCACAATATAAAAATCCAGAAAACAGCTTAGCCTGTAATCCATGCTTAAGCTACATGTGAATCTATTCCCAAGTAGAAAGATGAGTTATTAGATTTGTTAA